ACATATAGATAATACATTTGTTTGTTTATTTTGTAGGGGGAGGATTTTTTTCAAATTAATTATTTAAAACTGGATTTACCCATTGCATCTTTAATTGAGTAATTCTATTTTTTATCCTTAAATATGTAAAAAAGTTCTTGAAGGTAGATTGTAAGAAAAAGATTTAACCCTTGATTGATCAATTAGGTCCGCAACCTTTCTTAACTCACCTTTCCACCACACTTCTAAAGGAATGTCTGGGGAGAATAATTTTAAAGATTTAATTGGTGCTAACTACAAATAATTGTGTTGTCCATTTTCTCCATATTTCCACTGTGTTTTGTTGTGGGAAGATCGTTTATTATCCACTATAATATTTATAAATATCTGAAAAACCGCTCATGTTTTTATGTAGCCAGCATGATTTATGAGAAATCTTAAGTGGGTGTTTCCTTATTATATTATATTATTTGAAGTACTGTAAAAGGAATAGTTAGAAACAGAAACGGTATCTTAGGTTAAAGGATCATTTTGAAAGCATTAATTCTCTCCATCTAAAACAACTCCAATCTGGCCCATTGTTCCGATGTTGAATTGATTTGTGCAATACGTTTTTGATGCTTCTAATTGACAATAGTTTGAGTTGCTTTAGTTAATTAAACTCATAGGTATTTCAAAGAGGTTGTGCACCAATCAAATTCGTATTTTAATTTTAGATTCTCTACTGTCTCTTGAGAAATACCAATAGGTAAAGCCTGCATCTTGCTAAGGTTGTTTTTGTAAAAAGAAACCTCTCCATACTGCTTCAACCATTAATGGTGAAAATTTAATTTCTGGCTTAGTAAAACTTAAAATGATATTGTCTGCTGTGACGGACCGTCTGCCAATTGATGCTACTAGCACTTACCATGGAACATCAGCACCACACCGGACAACATAGCCATTGCAGACTCCATAAACCACCATAGTTTGTTTGGGGTCTCGCCATCTCCTTCCCACCCTGGCCAACCTCTGGACCCATGACCATGTGAGAAGGACCTCTCCTCCAGGAGAGTATAGCTGTGGGAAGGACCTTTCCTCCAGGAGCGTATAGCTGTATAGCTGGAGAGAGCTCTTACAAGAGCTATCAGTGATATAGTGGTTAGCTGTTCCCTACAACACGAGACGAGGTTGCGAGTTGAGGGTAAGAAGGTCTCAGGTTTATTGAGCAGCTTGCCTTTCTTTTATACAGATTTCCCCCACAAGGTTGATGACCAGGTGAACTTACATGCAGACACTCCCCTACAGTGTACTCAATCCCTCCCCCTGCCTGTGATACAATTAACAAAGACAATGGGCTAACTAAATTAGTTCTAAACAGAAAAAACATACATTTTTACAAACCCCAAAAAGTACCCCAAAATACAACATATCTCCACATCCCCTGATAGCCCCAATCTGGGTGAACAACATATCCAAAAATCACCTAGATTAGTTCAGGGGTTCAGGAATTTCCTGGAAGTTTTATTTTTGCCCCACCGTACACATGGTCCCATGCCCAAAACAGTTCCATACACTTGACGACAAAACACTGCTGGACAATTTAAGATGACAGCTGCCACATGTTTGAATTTGTTCCAGCTAAAAGTCCAATGGTCAGAAACAGTACCTTTAAAACCCAATATATCCAAATGGTGGTTTTATAGGGCAATACCTCCCAGGGGCCATAATCCTGGGGCAAGAGGCTGGCAATCAGGCCCCTCCAAAAGCCAGTGCCGAAGTGCAGTTTGTCACATCTGCAAATGAAGCAAATTTGTTAGAGATATTAGTTGTACATTAGCCCGGTTATTTCATTTGATTGTTTAATCTTGTAAACCAATGGTGTAACGGCACCCCCAGGCATAAAAGGGGTTAAAAGCCGTTTAGAAGATCTTCCCCTTCCAGAGACACAGGCAGCTACCGTAGACACCAATCCACCGAACCGGAGAAGCATGTGAATGCCGTAAACAGCCGAACCGGAACCATACGAATGCTGTAAACAGCTGAATAGGAAAAACCATACAAATAGGTTTACACTCCTAGCAGTCAAACTGGAACAGCATACAATAAATCCCCCCAAGAACGAGACAAGGCTCTGTTTTGAGGGTCAAGAAGGAACAGACAGAGCTGTGGGTTTAATGTTCTTATATACACATTAGTACCACCCACAGGGTTTTGGAAACCAACCAATAAACACATACAATACACTCAGACACTCCCACACAAAATCCTCCCCTCTGCCTGTTATACAATTACCTTACACAATGGGTAATGTAATTATCACCGGCAGAGAAATACAGTTTTTACACATTATTCATAACTTGAAAAGTATGCATCACATTCACATAAATGTTTTCAGAATCAGCATACTCCAAATACAAACATATGTCAAAATCATCCAAATTGGTCTAGTGGTTCAAAAGATAAATCGTAGTCCTTTGTGACCAAAGGAAGCATGGCTTTTCTGCCCAAAACCAGTTCCGCAGAGTCTTCTATCCTGGAGATAATTGGGAAGTAATCCAATTATCTCCAAGGACAGAGGCAAAACTCCATTGAACACATGGCAGCAAAAGACCATAAAATACACAAGGTTACATTTATTACATAAAATACAGACATGCAACATATCCCCAGATAGCTTAGGCCTGAGCGCACATTATTACTGAATGGCTCTCAAACCATACACATACAGTTCAATCGTCATGGAGCCAAAGTCTTTTATTATACGAATAGGCTCCATGGCATAGCTATCTGGGTTAAATGAGTTCATTCAGTAAATCCGAGAATCTACCGAACGCCAGAGCAGAAATACATGAATAGACCTTTCTGCATAGGAAAATAAAGTATCCATAGTCAAAAGGCAGCAGGCAGGCAACCAGGCTCCTCCAATGCACAGTGGCGAGATTGGTCTTGTCACAAATGGCTCTAACACTAAAATGAATATAAGAGGAGATAGTGGGAAGCCCTGGCGTATACCATTATGGAGGCCAAATATTTGTGAATAAAAGCCTCAATCCATAACCCTTGCCGTAGGAGCTGAATAAAGAACCTTGATTGCCTTTAAAAATGGAGATAGAAAATCAAATAGTCCCAATTTAACCAGTCGAATGCCTTTTTGGCATCCAACGCTAAAAATAATGTTGGTATCTGATATTGTTTTGCTATTTCAATTAATGATATATATCTCCTAGTATTATCATATAACTGTCTTCTTTGGACAAAGCCTACTTTTTTCTAGTGATATGATACTGGGCAGTATAGGACTTAGTCTGTTTGCTAATGTTTTCGTGTAAATTTTTAAATTGCCATTAAGCGGGGGCGTGTCTTGGACGTGGGTCGGAGTAGGTAGAGCTCCGTGCCGCGACGGCTAAAAAGGAGGAATAAAAAGCACAAATAACTAAAGAAAACGGCACAAGAAAATGTCCGAAGCCATAATGTCTCAGCCCAAAAGCAAACGGGCCGGAGAGAAGTGTGAGAAAAGCAATTTATTAACCTCGAGAGCAGCACAGGGAAAGTAGACATGTGCAATTCGTTTCGGACCGAATTAAAATTCGGCCGCATTTCGGGTAATTCGTACATTCGGGGCTTCCAAATGTCCGAATAGATGAATTGCCGAAGTGCTGAATTGCCGAAGTTCCGAAGTTGCCGAAGCACAATATTGCCGAAGTACTAATATCCAGTGAAAGAAGAAGAATGTTACACTGTATACAATTTCAAATAAAAAGTATACAAAGACAGTATTCAGCTGTAAGCATTTGCAACACTTACAACAATCAAGTAACATACATTCATTTAAAATGTAAGTTACTTAGCCAGTTATGTAATGACAGGAATGAATAAGTAGATAACTCCCTAATTCCCATGGTATTAGGGAGCTATCTACTAAAAGGCTGAAAGACCTAAATTGGTCTTTCAGCCAAATTTACTAATACTAACTAATGATTACTTAGTATTAGTAAATTATGCCCCTACTCGCTATACCGCGAGTAGGGGAATGTCTATTTAAAAAAAAAAAAAAAGGACCTATTGTCCCCCCTGGCCCCCATCTCTGAGTGGCGCGTTGGCGCCCTAAAGTAAAAAAAAGGGGGGAGGACCTATTGTTCTCCCCACCGGTGTTTGGGGGCCCTAAACAAGAATAAGGGTGGGGGCCCTAAATAAAAATTGGGGGGGGGGGACATTAGGTTATTCTTGTTTAGGGCCCCCACCAACCGCTCAGTTTGTATTTAGGGCCCGCACCCACCGCTCAGGAGTGGGGGTCGGGGGAGGACATTAGGTTCCCCTTATTCTTGTTTAGGGCTCCACCCACCACTCAGGGGTGCGGGCAAGGGGGGAGGACAATAGCCCCCCCTTTTTTTACTTTAGGGCCCCCACCTGCCGCTCAGGGAGGGGGGACCCTTTTTTTTTTTTTCTCTATATAGCGAGTAGGGGCACAATTTACTAATACTAAGTAATTTTTACTTAGTATTAGTAAATTTGGCTGAAAGACCAATTTAGGTCTTTCAGCCTTTTGGTAGATAACTCCCTAATACCTTGGGAATTAGGGAGTTATCTACCAAGCGGCTGCAAGAAAAGACCCGAAATGCCAGAGTTCCGAAGTTGTCAAAGTTCCGAAGTGTCGAATCAACGAAGTCCCGAATTTCGGAATGCCGAACCGAGATGAATATTTTCCCCATGCACATGCCTAAGGGAAAGGCCTCAAGTCAGGCCAAGCACTCCCAAGATGGCACCGAAATGGAGGCCCAGAACGGCAAAAACCCACTGACCCACAACTCCTTGAAAAAGCTGCTTGAGGAGATGTCAGACAAGATTGTGGGTAAGATGGATAGCGTTATCAAAGAATGACAGGATATAGGCCAGCGCACATTGCACGCAGAGGATCAACTCACAGAAATGACGGAGGCCCACAACTCACTGGCAGACACAGTGGAGGGCCTGGTTGAAAGACTAAATAGCCGATATGGAGGACCGAACACGCCGCAACAACCTGCGGGTAAGGGGAGTAGCGGAGACAGTGAAAACAGAGGATCTCTCCACCCACATCACGGGCCTGCTGAGAAAATTGACCCGTGACTTGCCACAAGATCTGCTCCTGCTGCATAGAATCCACAGAACAGCCAAACCAAATTTTTTACCACCAAACACACCAAGAGACATTTTGCTAAGGATGCACTATCACGCTAAATAAGCAATCTTAAATGCAAGCAGAAAAATGAAAACAGATACCTCCGGCCTACAGAGGGATGGCCATATATGTGGACATCTCCTCATACACCCTAAAGAGAAGACGGGACTTCCGAGAGGTGACCACCCAGCTCAGAGGCAACCACCTCCCATATAGATGGTGGTACCCCACCAAACTCCTAGTGATGAGAGAAGTGAAAACTACCATCATCGGATCCCCAGAAGAAGGCCAGCGTGTTTTGAGAGACTGGAACATAGCAGCCACGCCACCGACTGACCAAGACTGGAAAAAGGCGAAAAAAAGCAATAAGGGACAGAGACTTTAAGTCTTTATGCTCTATGACACCCAAACACACAGGACTATCATCTGCAGGGCAGAGTACCTGCCCCCCCCCCAAAAAAAAAAAACATGCCAAAGAGCTAACCACACAACCTCCTTGTACCGAGAACTAGAACAGAGACAGAAAAAGAAAACATGTATAATAAAAAAAATAAAAAATAATAAAAATAAATAAATAATATATAAAAGACCAACATATTACTCAAGGTTTTAGCATATAGTTGGGATTTCCCAATGCAAACACCAGATAGAGCCACAGAGGGAGACAGCACCTATAGCATGAGAGGCCATACGCCTCTTCCCCCAAGGCACGACAATGTAGTGCCAAGCCGACTTAACGGCAACACTTGTTTTCAAAAAATGTTTATGTAAATACTTTGGTTTATGTTATTGTATTATTGAATATTGTTTTAAGCAATGTTTACACTCCACATGTTTTGCACTTTGCTACAGAACATGGGATAGGGTTAGTGGGTAACCCAACACCAACCACCGCACAAATATCGATAAGACCTGGGAGTCGCCAGGTCGGTCCCAACGAAAGTTCCGCAGGCCCAACAGGAAAACTAATCAACACACAGAGGGATACACTGCTCGGCGCGACCAAGCCGGGGAGAGCGGTGACCCTTCAAACCATAGACTACCACATAAGATGTAAAGAGTACCAACCCCACAAGCCACCGTGAAAGTGTGCTCTTTTAATGTCAGGGGCCTCAATGCACCAGTGAAAAGACATCTACTCACCAGGGAGGTTAGAGCCCTAGGAGCAGACATACTATACCTCCAAGAAACGCATTTTAGACATAATGACCACCCAGCAATATTGACCAATGACTTTCCACATCAATTCCATGCCACATCTCCCACAAAAGCTAGAGGAGTGTCCATCCTAATAAGTAAAGCGGTCTCATTCACACTACACTCCACAGACAAATATCCAAATGGCAGGTACATCATACTCATAGGGTTGTTTAATGACAGGTTATACACCACTGTAAACATATACTCCCCTAATACGAATCAGAGGAACTTCCTGCACAAAATCCTAACCAAAACAAGCAATGTCCAAAGAGGCATCACAATGATAGGGGGTGACTTCAATCATATAATAGACCCGCAGCTAGATACAACCTTACCACAACATAGAAAACATCATTGCCCCCTAAAAAGACAATGTAGAGGTATAGTGAAACTCCTGCACGATTACCACCTGCTTGGAGAGTCACACATCCGCCAGAGAGGGTATATACACACTACTCAGCGGTACATAACTCAGGGGCGTATTAGCCGCGAGGCAAACAAGGCATTTGCCTTGGGCGGCATTTTTCAGGGGGCAGCAAAAAACGCCGCCCCCCCAAATGCCCAGGGCAAATGCCTAGTTAGCCTCGCGGCTAACTGACATCCCAGGCGGGCGGCTGGCGAGGGAGCACCTCCTTTGAGCTGACTGCTCAGCTCCCTCGCGTGCCGCAGAGTGAGCCTGGGAGCCGGAAGATGACGTCATCTTCCGGCTCCCAGCCTCACTCTGCAGCCGGCGCGCGAGGGAGCTGAGCAGTCAGCTCATAGGAGGTGCTCCCTCGCCAGCCGCCCGCCTGCCAGCGCCGCCCGCCCTGCAGCCACTGGACCACCAGGGAGAGAGACCCCCCCCAGCACTCCCAAAGGTAAGGAGGTTGGGGGGGGATTTAAATTTAAAATAAAGGTAATGTGTGTGTGTGTGTCTGACTGTGTGTGTTTGTGTCTGACTGTGTTTGTGAGTGTGTGTTTGTGAGTGTGTGTGTGTTTGTGTCTGACTGTGTTTGTGTCTGAGTGTGTGTGTGTTTGTGTCTGACTGTGTTTGTGTTTGTGTATGTGTCTGACTGTGTGTGTGTTTGTGACTGTGTGTGTTTGTGTCTGACTGTGTTTGTGTCTGACTGTGTGTTTGTGAGTGTGTGTGTCTCTGACTGTGTGTATGTGTGTGTTTGTGTCTGACTGTGTTTGTGAGTGTGTGTGTGTTTGTGTCTGACTGTGTTTGTGTGTGTGTGTGTCTGACTGTGTGTGTTGTGTCTGACTGTGTGTGTGTGTGTGACTGTGTTTGTGTGACTGTGATGTGTCTGACTGTGTATATGTGTCTGACTGTGTGTGTATGTGTTTGTGTGTGTGTCTGACTGTGTGTGTGTCTGACTGCGTGTGTGTCTGACTGTGTTTGTGTCTGTGTATGTGTCTGTGTATGTGTCTGACTGTGTGTGTGTGTTTGTGTCTGTGTATGTGTCTAACTGTGTATGTGTCTGACTGTGTGTGTGTGTCTGACTGTGTGTGTGTGTGTGTCTGACTGTGTGTGTGTGTATGTGTCTGACTGTGTGTGTGTGTATGTGTCTGACTGTGTGTTTGTGTCTGACTGTGTGTGTATTTAGAAGGTGGGGCGGGGGGAAGGGTTGGGTGGGGGTGGCGCGGGGGCAGGAGGGCGCCTGAGTTTTGTCCTGCCTAGGGCAGCACAAAACCAGGATACACCACTGACATAACTCCTACTCTAAAATTGACAGATTCCTTGTATCAGGTTCGGCACTAGACCAAATCATAGTTAGTGACATACAGCAAATCACATGGTCCAACCATGCACCAGTAACCATAGAATTAAAGAATAATTACGACTTTAAACACCGCAGCCCTTGGAAAATCAATACCTCCCTGTTGATGGATGAGAAATTTGTAGAATCCCTGACAGAGGACCTTCCAACATACTTCCAACTAAATGACACAAAGGACACCACAGATGCTACTCTGTGGCTTGCACACAAAACAGTAGCGCGAGGCCTACTAATACGCAGAGCAGCGTACGTAAAAAGAAATCGTCAAACGCAACTTGGCAGGTAGAACTGTACGAGATGAATAGACTAAACCAAAATACACAGACTGTAGAGACTAAATCCAGAATAGCTCAGATCACTAAGCTCATACACCAACAGGCACTAGACGCACTTAACTCAAACATGCAGAAGCTCAAGTTAACCCATTACGTGCAGGGCAATAAAGCAGGCATATTACTGGCAAAACGACTAAAAACCAGACAGGCGAATCATAAAATATCCTACCTCACGGACCAGACAGGGTCTAAAATCTCCACCCCCAAAGGAATAAGCAATGTGTTCGCAACATACTATTTTCTCCCTGTGTAACATACAGGAGGACATGCAGACAAAACACCCAACAAACCTTAGCATTAGGAACTATCTAGATGAGGTAACACTACCTAAGATCACACCACAACAAAAAGAAGCCGTCACCAAACTGATAGAGGAACAGGAGATCAGGGACCTTATTAGAAACCTTCCGTCGGGAAAATCCCCGGGACCAGACGGGTTTGACAACCAATATTATAAGAGGTTTGGCACGATACTGGCGTCTTACCTGGCTAGAATGTTCACAGAGGCAGCTCTCAAGGGTGAACTCCCCAGGGAAACGCTGGCCGCTCATATTGTCACACTCCCTAAACCCAACAAATCCTCAACAGTAACGCAAAACTTCCGACCCATCTCCCTCGTCAATACTGATGCGAAACGTTTCACCAAACTGGACACTAACCGCCTGGGAGACATACTGCCACATATCATTCATAATGATCAGGTGGGTTTCATCAAGGGTAGACAGGGAACGGACAACACGAGGAAGGTCATTAACATCCTCCACCATCTGAAGAATCAGCGGCGGGGGGGACTGATGGTCTCCCTCGATGCTGAAAAAGCTTTTGACCGCATACACTGGGTGTTCCTACAAGGAGTATTAGGCAAGTTTGACATCCCCGCCGGGTTTGTGTCGGTGGTGAGCACCCTCTACAGTGATCCCTTGGCAAGGGTACTCAATGCTGTATTTCTGTCCAGGCCATTTAGGCTCACGGACGGCACAAGACAGGGCTGCCCCCTGCCCCCCTGCTATATGTCCTGGCATTGGAGCCGCTGGCGATTAAGATACGGGACAACCCTGCGATACACGGTATGGAGATAGGAAAAAGGGAATACAAGGCGAACGTATTCGCTGACGACATACTGCTTACACTTACACAACCGCACATATCACTGCCAAACCTCTTGCAGGAAATAGAAAAATACGGAGAGCAATCATACTACAAACTCAGCATCCCGAAAACCCAAGAGACTACAAGGAGAAATAAGAGACATATTGAAGAAATGGGAAGATAAATACATGTCTTGGGTGGGGAGACTGGCGGCGGTGAAGATGATGCTACTGCCAAAATTTCAGTACCTACTCAGAACACTACAGATCCCCCTACCAAACACATACTTAAGACGGCTGCAAAAAAGCATCACTAGCTTTGTTTGGGCACACAAAAAAATCAGAGTAGTCACAAAGATTCTCACCAAAAATGTGGCACAGGGGGGTTTGGGAATGCCAGATGTGCAAATGTACTATAGGGCAGCGCTGCTGGCCACAGCCCTATTGGATCACACAGCACACAACCCACCACAATGGGTAGAGAGGGAGTTGACCTGGACGTGCCCCAGGGGCCTCAAATACCTATACTGGGTACCGCATAGGCGACGCCCATCGCTCCTGGAGATGCCCACCATGACAGAAACCCTGCTAAGAACCTGGGATGTGGCCAAACCACAGCTAGGGTATACCACTGCATGGGCAATGGCCACTCCCCTATATAGTATACATGT